GCCGGCCAGAGCGTAGGCATAGGGCGCGCGCGTATTGTTACGTCATGAAATATTTATGGTGCGCACAATAATTGGAATTATGACGGCAAAAACATGACTCGACTCTCGACACCGTGAATCTTGACTTGACGCCTTTTTGTCCGCTGTGGCGCAATGGACGACCGGGGAAGGTTACGTAAATCGTTAACATTACAACGTTGACTACCAAATCGAACGGATCTAAGTGGAACACAGGATTTCATTGGAATATGGCCGCCTTGTTGGACGAAAGAGAAAGCCGCGACGTGAATGGAGAGTTAGAGCTGCCAGACAAATTCCCCCCCGAGGTATGTACGTCGTGTACACAGATAGCTTTAATTAACCCACAAAGGCTAGAAGCTTACAACCATTACGTGTATGATTAGCCTCAGAACGGTGCGACGGAGTACAAGCTTCACTTGGTGGAGCCTAGCGACGCTCGCGTGGAGCACCTGACGACGCAGATGAAATGGCGGGTGGAGGAGGGAGGAGGAGAGGCCGTCTACAGGCTGGGAGTGAAGGACAGTGGAGAGATCCTTGGTCTGGAGCCCCAGGCACTGGAGAAATCACTGCAGACCATGACCAGAATGGCTGACAAGTTAGTTGTTTGGGTCTGTCTCTCTACTTTCTTCTCTCTCTCTCTATGTGTGTGTGTCATACAGGATTGGTGCCAGTGTGAAAGTGGTGAGAAGGTACAGGTGTAAGGGTGGAGGGAGAGAAGTGGTTGAGGTGGTCGTACAAGAAGGTGGAGGGTCTTCACAGTGTGCCCACTACCTGGAGCCTTGTGTGGCAGTGTTGGGACCTGTGGAAGCTGGCAAGAGCACTCTGCTGGGGGTCCTGATAGACGGGCAGCTGGACAACGGGAGAGGTCAGGCGAGACTCAACCTCCTGCGACACCGACACGAACTGGTCTCCGGTCGCACCTCATCAATCAGCCGTGGTTTTCTCGGCTTCACAAAGGCAGGGGAAGTGGTCAACTACGAAAAGTGTGGCAGTATTCAGGAGATCTGTGAGGCAAGCGCCAAGCTGGTGACCCTCATTGACCTCGCCGGCCACCGCAAGTATCTCAAAACCACTGTCTTCGGTCTCACAGCCTACGAGCCTCAGCTAGCAATGCTAGTTGTCGGAACTGACACTCAAATCGGTAAGTTGGTAAAAACATTTTGCACTGTTATTCTAATCACAACAACATGTAGGTTGTCCCCCAAAGCGTTTAAGGTTTAGAGGATTAAAGAAAGTTGTTATAAGCAAAAACCAAAAACCAAAAAAAGGTGGAGATGCCGGGGATTGAACCCGGGGCCTCTCACATGCGAAGCGAGCGCTCTACCACTGAGCTACATCCCCACATTGGCGCCCACAAAAGGAGAAACAGCTGTAGTTACTCACAAACTTCTACCCTTCATTCCAGACGAGCCAACCTGTGATCAGGTGTGTTTCTCCATTGCTCTGGGCATGCCGCTGTTTGTAGTTGTAACAAAAGTGGACAAGTCAAGCCAGGAGCAAGTCACACAGACCACCGATGCCATATTCACTAATCTCCTGTCAGAGAAAGGGAAAGTGCCATTTCCAGTGCATTCAACTACAGATGTCGATGTAGCTGTTAAGAACTTCATGGAGGGAAGGTAGGAGTGTATTTAGCACCATCTTGTGAGCCAGTGTCTCCCTCATACAGAGTGACTCCAGTGTTCTGCATCTCGTGTGTGACCGGCCAGAACCTCTCCCTGCTCCAGAGATTCCTCTGTTTTATCCCCACGGAAACCAAACCACTATCACACAAACTGCTGAGTCAGCAGCCTGCCGAGTTTCACGTCGATGAGCTGTTCAACGTGGAGGGGGTGGGGCTTGTTCTGGGTGGGATTCTGAAGAGGGGTGTGGTCCAGGAGGGGGAGCGTCTTCTGATTGGTCCAAATGCCAGGGGCGAGTTCTCCAGCACGATGGTTAAGTCTATTCGCTACAGAATCAACCGAGCTCCGTGCACCCAGATTATAGCTGGACAGGCAGCCACCATTACTGTATCATGGGGTGGACAGATGCTCCGTGAGGAAGGTACATGAGGACTTAGTCAATCACACTACACCCCTTTCCCTGGGCGTGCCTTTCCAAACACGTTTACCTGTACATACAGGAGAGAATAGCTTTGTATACTAGAGGTGACTTCTAAAACACTAACTCTCTCTCTCTCTCTCTCCTGCCTCCCTGCTCTAGGGAACAGTTCTATTATCGGAGGCAGCTCTAGATGAAGCGGCTCACAGTTGTTCAGAATTTGAGGTCGAGCTGCAGCTGCTGGAGGCCTCGGGCTCCTCTGGTCTCCGAAGAGGGTTTCAGGCCACGGTGTATGTCGCCTCCATCATGCAGAATGCTGTCATTGACAACATTCATGACCGGGTCAGTTGTACAGGTCACACTCTTGATTAGTCAGCCAAGCTGTTGAAAATCATAGTTCAACTGGTGTTCAAACAATCAATTATGCAAACATTCAGCTGATTGGTCAAACAGTTATTCATGTGGTTCAGAGAACCACTTGGGCAATGTCTGATAAGTGTTCCTTTCTCAATTTCAGGAGTGCCTGTCGAAGGGAGGAGACAAGGCCAGTGTCCGATGTCGATTCCTCCACCATCCTGAGTTCCTGAGGGTAGGCAATCGCCTGGTGATGAGAGAAGGCCCAACCAAGGCAACCGGTGAAGTCTCCAAACTCCTGCCACTCAAGCATACCACACCCACCACTTCTCATAAACGTTACTCCAATTAGAGCCTCCTCCACTATGTAGCACCATCTTTACGTTATTTTCATATAACACTATTTTTATAATTCTCATTTATCAAACCCACTACAGCCTGGAGCATAGAGCAGGCAGATGAGTTTTAGATCTATAATGGTATAATTGGTGAGCAAACACAAGTGTGACGATTTAATAATTTAGGGTATGGCAACAGCTAAATTATGCCATTTGGTTGCTCACAAATTATGACAGTAGATAACTAAGCCAGTGAACTAAACTATAGTGACACAAAATAGCACGTGGTCCAGAGACTGTGTCAGAGAGGTCTGGAGACTCTGATGTCAGTGGAGTTAGCAAGGTCAGTTCGAGATGGGTAGAGGACCAGCAGCTGCCCTGCCTCGTCAACCACCCTCACCTGCTCAACCCTCACCCCTCCACTCATCACACTGGCCACACCCACAACCAGGGAGTCCATGGCGACCTTGGCAGCCAGGAGACTTTCCGATGATGTAACTTCTACCAGAAGATCCGTCGTTGATTCTGATACCTGGAAACAGCAAATCGGGAATGAGTTGCGCAATACATCACTTGTCAAATTCTTTTTGGACAGTCAAGAAACTAAGAAACTGTCTCACCCTCTAGTATGTGTACATACCTTGGTGTTGTGAGAGTTGGTGAGAGGAGGTAGGGAAATGACGGAGCCTGAGCTGTCCTGTAGATACACCATCTCCCCACTGTCAACATATTGCAGGTACCTGCATTCGTATATACACACATACATGCATGCATCTGCTGCTTTAGGGAATTTCCAAATGTATTTCACGCAGCATTGGCGCATGCACACCAGCAGAGGTGCACCGTTCCGACCACTAGTCATCACACAGAGTGGCAGAGAACTCACTTGAAGAGAGAGGCTGCAGTTGTGTCCACTCCTTTTGCCTTCCTCCCTCCACTCCCCGGCTTGTTGGCCTCCACGTGATCCAGAAACTGCTGAACTTTCACTTCTTCACTCCATCCCAGGGGTGTCATGGCAACATCGGTTGCCGGGGCAACACGGTATGAGACGGGAGGAGTGACTTTGGCCAGGTCATGAGTGGCGATGGTTGCCGAGCGACGTCTCTTACAAACAGTGTCATGGAGCTTAGTCTGAAGACTGATAAACTCTCTCATGGAGTCCTCTGTTGCCAGGGCAACACCCCTCATCACAGTACACACCAGGTAGGGTCGGACCTTCCTCGCATTGCCAGTAGCAACGACCTCTAACCCCTTCCCCTGCTGAGGTCTCACCACTGCCACCTCGGGAAGCTGGAGAGAAAACTCCACGTCTTCCTCCTCACCGTCCGACTGAACCGCTGCCTTAGTCTTCCCCTTCTTCTTCCCAACTGGAGCTGGGCCTGGACCCCGACTGGCCAAGTAGTCCAGAACAGCCTTAGGTTTGTGTGTTCCGTGCTGCGCCACTAGTTTCAGAAGTCGTCGGTCCTTCAGAGGATTTCCTTCCAGTCGCACCGTCTTCAACTTGGAGCAGGCTGCCAGCTCGTGCGGCAGACTCTTCAGCTGGTTCTCCTGAGCCTCCAAGACTCGGAGTCCCACCAGAGACTGGACGAGGGCGGGGCTGAGAGAGGAGAGAGAGTTGTGAGCCACACGCAGCTCTGCCAGCTGGGTCGTCATGGAGAGGAATGAGGGGAGGGAAGTCAGCTTGTTCCCTGTCACATCCAGCTGGTGGAGCTGAGGCAGAACCTCTCCCGCCATGTCCTCCGGGAACGAGGAGTCAGTTAGACAGTTGTTGGCGATGATGAGCGTCTGGAGGGCAGGGAGGAGGAAGAGGGAGGTGGGCAGAGATGACAGTTTGTTCCGAGACACATCCAGTAGTTTGAGCCTCGGGAGACAACCTATTTCATCGGGCAACGAATCCAGACCGTTCTCCACGAGGCCTAGCTGGAGTAGAGCCGTGAGGCCGCCCACACGAGAGAGCCTAGCCACTCCGGCGAAGCCACTCAGCTGCAGATTGTTAAGACTCGTCACTGCAAACATCGACGTGTCCTCACCACCCTCTATGGCCTGCACCACTTTCTCCGTCACGGCATCTTTTCGCAGAACCAACTCCCGCTTCCCACTGCTCGCTGCCTCCGCGAACAAACCTCGTTCTTCCTTCTTCGATTTCTTCATCACAGACACGTGGGTATGGGCGTGGCAAAGTATTCTGCAACCTGATTGGTCGAGCAGATCACGGACTTTTGCCGCGGATTTGGCGCGAAAGTGCAGTGCACACGAAGGTCGAAGGATACGGAGCTAGAGAAGAGGGATGGCAGGATTCGACGACCCAGGTGTGTTCTACTCTGAGCCGTTCTTCTCCGAGGACGTGACTGAAGATGGGGAGATCTCCCGCACGTCTGCCGTGCGTCGTTTCAAGGAATTCATCAAGACATTTCTGGACCACGAGAACGTATACAGCTACAGGTAGTCACGTGACTCTCCACTGCAGCTATATAATAACCTCTCTCTCTCCTTCCCCGCGAAGAGAGCAACTAAAGAAGCGCTACAACTTGCGGCAGTACAAGCTGCTGGTGGTAATGGAGGACCTGGCCAGTTTCGATGCTCAGCTGGCTGACCGTCTGACCCGCCTCCCTGCCGATTACCTACCACTGGTGAGTTCCTCTCCTCCCGTCACCCACTGTACCCTCACTGCTGGCTCGTAGTTTGAGCATGCAGCAAAGGAGGCGGCTGACGAGGTCACGAGACCACGCCCAGAAGGGGAGGAGGTTCGCGACATGCAGATTCTCCTCAGCTCTGATGCTAATCCTCTTCAAATCAGAGACCTCAGAGTAAGAGTTTTCCCATTTCTTTTTCCTATGTCGCCCCCACCTTGTTTCTTTCCTCGCTCCAAAATTTCATCTATCTCGCTCGAAAAGATCTTTCCTCCTATATCACTCCACCTGTTGTCTTTTCCCTTTAACTTCTGCACAGCAACAGCTGCTTATTCTGTGACGCAACGTGTACAGCAATAGTGCCAATGGTTCTCTCATTGTTCTGACCTGTTGTAGTCAGAGCACATGGCCCGACTGGTGAAGGTACCAGGGATAGTCATCCAGGCCTCGGGGCTGCGAGCCAAGGCCACCCGTCTCACTCTCCAGTGTCGCAGCTGTCGTAACATCATCCCCAACATGGCCGTCAAACCAGGTCTGGAGGGAGTTTCCCTCCCTCGCAGGTGCTCCTCCGACCAGACGGGGCGACCCAAGTGTGCCATGGACCCTTTCTTTGTCGTCCCTGACAAATGTAAATGTGTGGACTTTCAGGTGCAGCCCCTCCCCTCTGTCTTTTCTCTTTTACTTTTATCTTATCTACCTTCTCTTCTTTTTTTCTCTTTCTCAATGCTTAGTAGAGTAATCCTTTATCTGACTCAAAATTTTGTCAAATGTCTTGCTCCATCGAAAAGCTTCCCTATGATACAAGGTCCGTGTGTTGCAGGTCCTGAAAATACAGGAGAGTCCAGATTCCGTTCCAAAGGGGGAGTTGCCTCGTCACATTCAGCTGTACCTGGACCGCTACCTCACCGACTGCATCGTCCCCGGGAACCGCATCACAGTCATTGGCATCTACTCCATCAGGAAGGCCGGGACAAAACCTCAGAAGGTGAGTATATTATAGTAGAGGAGGAGAGAGACAGAGGGTGTTCATAGAGATGTGTGCTGTTGTAAGTCTCAGTCTTGTTTGACAGTAAAATTCAGGTGAAAACTGAAGGTTAGTTTGTTTTGGAGCACTAGATTTGGCAGTCATTCGGAGCCAAGTATATATACTGAGCTTCACCGGAGCCTTTCCAGATGGCAATAGAAATAGTTCTGTACCTCACAGAGTATCTAGTCATCATTCTCGTACACACACTGTTTGTGTCCAGACTGGCAGGGAGAAGGCGAGCAGTGCCGGGCTGAGGAAGCCATACCTGCGCGTCGTCGGAATTGAGGTCGACAGTGACGGAGCAGGTAGAGCTAGTGGTCAACCTTTGACCTCCGAGGAAGAGGAGGAATTCCGTCGCCTTGCCTCCCGTCCTGACATCTACGAGGTGATCGCCAGGTGAACTAATCACCAGTCGGTGTGGCTTCCTCTATCACGTGACTCCACCCACAGGTCGATCTCTCCTTCCATATATGGAAGCCTGGACATCAAGAAGGCGATAGCCTGTCTGTTGATTGGAGGATCGAGGAAGAGGCTGCCCGATGGTCTCACGCGGCGAGGAGACATCAACATTCTCCTCCTCGGGGACCCTGGGACCGCCAAGAGCCAGCTGCTCAAGTTTGTTGAGAAGGTGGCTCCAATTGGAGTAAGTCTACCAGGTCACGTGACAGTCATGTGACGTCATGTGATCCCAGGTGTACACGTCTGGGAAGGGTAGCAGTGCGGCGGGACTGACAGCCAGTGTCATGAGAGATCCGGTTTCTCGGAACTTCATCATGGAGGGTGGGGCCATGGTCCTCGCAGATGGGGGCGTGGTCTGCATTGACGAGTTTGACAAGATGAGGTAATCGTCCAGGGGTCGAGGGGTTAACGACAGTCGGTGTTGTTGGTGCAGGTCGTCTGACAGGGTTGCGATCCACGAAGCCATGGAGCAGCAGACCATCTCCATTGCAAAAGCAGGGATCACAACAACCCTCAACTCTCGCTGCTCCGTCCTGGCCGCTGCAAACTCTGTGTTTGGTCGCTGGGACGACAGCAAGGGAGATGCCAACATAGACTTCCTCCCAACCATCCTCTCCCGCTTCGACATGATCTTCATCATCAAAGATGAACACGATGTTGCCAAGGACACTGTGAGTCTCCGTGGAAACCAAACAAATCCTCTCACCCTCTCTCTCCCTCCCTCCCCAGCGAATGGCGAAGCATGTGATGCAGGTGCACCTGAATGCCCTCCAGCCTGCGACAGAGGATGCTGTGGAGGCAGAGCTGGACCTGCCAACACTCAAGAAGTTCATCACCTTCTGCCGGAGGTGAGCTAGATGATACAATGGAACCCCTCTAATCCTAGATAATACAATGGAACCCCTCTAATCCTGGATATTACAATGGAACCCCTCTAATCCTAAGAAAGTGTCCATGTTTGTGAGGTGTCTTATTTCGTGGGTTGAATTGCGTGCAACTGTTCTTGAGGAGACAAGATGTGTCCTTATTAGAGAGGTGTCCTCAGAGAGGGTTCCAGTGTAATTACCACCCTCTCCTCTCTCTAGGAGGTGTGGTCCGAGACTGTCTGAACAGGCGGCAGACAAACTCAGGAATCGTTATGTGGTAATGAGGGGTGGGGCCAGACAGCACGAGAGAGACACAGCCAAGAAAGCCTCCATACCCATCACCGTCAGGTCACTTGCTACACACACTTCGCTTTTCTCCAAATCTGACCATATTAACGTACATGTAGACATTCTCAGCATTTCTTTAGCATCTCACGAACACTACTTTTCATAGAACAGTTTGCTGAAGAAGTATACGACTGCTCAATGATGTCCCCTTGTACTCACGACATGTATGACTGTTTGCACTGTGCAGGCAGCTGGAAGCCATCATCAGAATCTCAGAGTCACTGGCGAAGATGTCTCTCCTGCCATTTGCTCTGGAGAGCCATGTCGACGAGGCACTTCGGCTGTTCCAGGTCTCCACCATGGACGCCGCCCTCTCCGGCAGTCTCACTGGTAGCTGGTCTTCTCGCCCTCCCTCTCTCTCTCTCTCTCTCTCTCTTTTCTTCCTGTCTTTGGTGGTGACGACTCTTTTCAAGCAGTAGGTCCTAGCAGGCAAAAATATTTTCATTTGGTCGAGGAATGTTAGCATGCTTACATAAATGTAAAGCATGCTCATATAATGTTCATCCCTCTTGTCCTTGTGTCTACTTACATGACTATCTCTGTACGACAGGGGCAGAGGGGTTTGCGTCGGAAGGAGATCAGGAGGAGGTGAGGAAGGTGGAGAGACAGCTGAAGAACAGATTCCCCATTGGCTCCCACGTCTCTGAGCAGAGGATCGTTCAAGACTTCCTCAAACAGGTGACAATTGTGGCAGTGACACGCCCACTTCTCTGGCTGAAGAAATTCTTCATTACATGATAAGCAAGCACATTAGCTGTATGACTTGTACAACGTAACCAAGGACGACCCCTCAACAACGATGATGTTCTTGCACAATTCACCAGAGCACTTAGTCTATGCTGTATGATCGCCCTCATCTGTGTGTGATGTAATCTGTCTGTGATTGCATCCCCAGAACTATTCGGAGCAGGCGATACTGACTATCATCCACATCATGTTGAGGAGAGGGGAGCTGCAGCACCGCATGCAGCGAAAGGTTCTCTTCAGAGTTCGCTGACCTTCTCCGCCACCAAGTCTGCTGGCTGCACTATCTGGACTGCTACCCATGGACAATGACACCGCGATATTATATACATAATATGGAGGTCATTTGAACCATGTTATGATGTTCACACATAATACAAAGTTGTTTCAATGATGTGATGAAAGGTTTTTGTTGAGATGAGGTTATGAAGGTACAATGACACACCTGCAGAGAAGAGATAAGTTGTAACTGGAGGTTGGAGAGAGAGAAAGATGGCAGACCCGAGGAGTCCTTGTCCGTGCCAGCGGCGAGGAGTGAGTGACAGAGACACTGACTCTCCTCTCCTTACCAGCAGCACGTGTACCGGACTCTGTGCATCATACAGGAGAGAAGTGAGGACAACAATAATCCACAGCACAACTCCAAGAAAACCTGCTCCAAGAAGAGGTATACTACGGTGTTGCTATAGAAACAAGTTTTGCCCGTTGAAGTGCACGCCTTACCCCAACGCTGTGTTGGACAACGTCAGCGACATTCTTGAGGCCAGTGAAGTTTGCAGCTGTCACGGAGCCAAACTCTGCAATCTTGTCGTCTGCCTTCACCCCCTGTGGAAAAGGCAACACACACTCACATATACCTTGTAGTCTTGACTTACGGCAGACGCAGCAGGTGAGCCGTCTGTCACCTGACTCACTCGGGCAAACGCCGTCGGAAGTATCCTCCTCTCTTCTCCTCTGGCCACACCCTCTGACTCCGCCCCCCGACGGAGCCGGGTCTCGGCGTGGATCTGGTGGAGTTTCTCTTCGATTAGTTTCATCACTGCCTTGTGGTCATTCCTCAGACCTGGGGGGACCGGGGAACAGGCACGGGGGGCAAGGGGAACTGGCTCCCATCAAATTTTGTAGCTAAACGTCAGTAACAGTTCTCACAGATGATCCTGTTCCTGGCTCTTCTGACGGCATATACGTCGATATCTGGACGTGGGAACCCCTCATCGTCCACCAGTCTCCCGTTCATTCCCACTCCTCCCTGCTGTTGATGGTGGCTCTGAGGTCACGTGCAGTGCAGCGAGTCAGCCTCACGTTCTCCAGGACAGTGTTGCAGGCCTGCATCTCCGTCTCGATGGCGTCCTTCCTGTCCATCAGCTCCTCTGGAGACAGTTTACTCCAGTCCTCCTCAGACAACTCCATTCTCCACTCCACGCGGCGCGCAGCAGGAATTGGGGGCACGCCCCTTAAATCGTCACATGATTAGAGACACACCTCCGGCCAGTGTGCTGCTGCTGCTATAGATCATCTCTCTGCACAGCTACAGCTTGTGAACATGGCGCGCAAAGGCTTGACTCGTTTCTGCGGAGTGTGTTCCATCCTCTCCGTCTCTCTCGCCGTGGTCCTGTTGGTTGCAGCCGTCGTCCTGGGAACTGACAGCGACGGCATCAACGCTGCAGTGGAGCGGCAGATCGACGAGGTACTCCTAGTTCCTGCACTGTCCCTCTATCTCCTCCTCCTCCTTCTCTTTCAGCAAGTGACGTTGAAGCCAGGCCATGCCACGTACGAGCAGCTGCAGAACCCGACGCTGCCTATCTGGAAAGACTTCTACTTCTTCAACCTCACGAATCCCGATGAGTTTGTGGAGGGAGCAAAGCCCAACCTCACTCAAGTTGGTCCCTACAGCTACAGGTGCAGCCCCTACCTACACGATGCAGCACATGAGGAAAAACTATTCAGCCAAATAAGGGACGCCTTGGGAGCATCGAAAGTGTCTTGTCAGAAGTGTCCCTATTCGGAGATGACTAATGTAGAATGAGCAATTGTGATTCTTAGGGAGTTGTCCTATAGTTTGAGGGCCCCTTTTCTTGTAATGGCAAAGGTTTCCATTTCATTTCCAGGGAGGAGAGGAAGAAAACCTTCCTGTGGGTGTCTCCCGATGACTCAGAACTGACGTACAATCAGAGCAAACTGTTCTACTGGGACAACGCTACCTCGGGAGCCAGGCTCCGGGAGAATGACACTATCTGTACCATCAACATCCCCCTCCTGGTTAGCCTGCTGAGTAACTCTGTGTAATAGGCATGTGACGTGAATGTTGCATCACATGGTATTGTATACATGTGTAAATACACCCACATGCAGCAATATTCTTGCATTAGACCAACATGTAACATGGTGAAAATGAGACCAGTAAATAAAGTTGGTGTTTCTCCCTCCCTCTCTTTTCCCCCAACTCTCCCTCCCTCTCTTTCCCCTCCAACTCTCCCTCCCTCTCCTTTCCCCCCAACTCACTCCCCACTCAGGGAGCGATTGACATGGTGGAAGAATACGCCAAGGAACACAGTGGAGTCATAGGAGAGTTGGCCAAGCAGCTGCTGAAGGAGATAATATCTGAGACTGGTGCGAGGCTGTACGTGTGTGTGGAGGCCCACGACCTCGCATGGAACTACACCGATGCCTTTGTGCAGAAACTGAACAGGAGTGAGGTACTCAAACTGAGCGGGCTGGCCTACCCACGCTGCTGTGTAAACCTTCAGAGCAATGGCTCCGCAAATGATTCCCGACCATCAACCATATACACTGGAGTGAAGGACATAGGAAGGATTGGGCAGTTCTTACAGTGGGACGGTATGAGGAGACTCAACATCTGGCCGGGGGAAACAGCCAATGACATTAATGGCACTGAGGGACTGTTCTTCAGACCTAATATCAAAGAGGGGGAGCCCCTGATGGCATTTGTTGATGACGTCATTCGGTCATTTGACCTGACGCAAGAGAAGAAGGTGAAACACAAGGGACTGGAGGCGTGGCGCTACCTCCTAAATTCCACGACGTTCCTCTCCCCTCTTTACTACCACCCCAACTCCCGCTGGGGTAACTGGGAGTACGACGGACTCATCTACCTCGGAGTAATCCAGTACCCCAACGTCCCGGTGTACGGGAGTCAGCCCCACTTCTTCGGGGGAGACCCCATACTCCGAGAGATGGTTATCGGGATGAACCCTGACCCCAAGCTACACACCACTCAGATCGATGTGGAGGTGTTCACAGGAGCTAACATACAGTTCAGGCAGGTGCTGCAACTCAATGCCCGCGCCGTGAGGAACGACGACTTTGAGTGAGTTCTTTAACCCTTCTCTATACCACCTTCCCTGCACCCCTTCTTCCTCATTAAGAAACCTTCTCATTCCTAACTCAGAGAGCTGGCAAACATCAATGGAACTCTCTACTACCCTGTCCTCTACATCAATGAGGTATGTACATCAATGGGGGACAGCTCTAGAGTATTGAGATTCAGAGGTAGTGTCCTTCATTCGGGTTTTAGAGGTGTCCTATATACATACACGTCCTGTTGTTGTGTGGCATATATATTGCAAGCTGGCTGCCTAGAATGGAAGACCTTTATGCCACTCCAAACATCACGAGTTGAAACCTCATAATACACACACACACGCACACACACACACACACAGCATGCAGAGTTGACAGAAAGTTTCAAGAACTATCTCGAGGGGAAAGGATTAGGGATGGTGATGGGACTGCAAGAGGCATACTGGCCCGTTTTTGGAGTCCTACGTAAGTCAGGGGGCGGGGCAACACTCTAATTAACTCTCTGTTTCCATGACTACCACAGTGGGGCTGGCACTAATATTGATACTGGTTTCCATGGTGATATGTGGTCTGTTTATCGGACGGCTCAGAAGACGAGAACAGTATGAGCGATTATAGTCCTTCTCTTTGTTATCTCCTGTGTGATACTTTCATGTTTGTTGTCTAATTAAGGAAATTGAAAATGCACCTTATTATTGTAAATGGAAATGGAATGAGAAAAACAAATTCAGACGGTTCTTTGTCAGCTTGCGCAGGAAAACAGTTTGTGGAATAAAATTTACTAAATTTGGCAGACAAAAACCGAAATGACCTGACATAAGAAGTTATAATATCAAATAATATAGGCAGTGAGCAGTCATGTGACTCGACTCACCCACCAAAATCTACTAACAGTACAATATACAGCCACACCGCTACAGTCCGCGCCAGTGGGCGGAGTCTATTTCACAGACACGCCCAGTTTCTCTAGGACCTTGAGCCCCTTCTCCTGGTACTCCTCTCGGGACATCCAGAAGGTGTCTCTGTCCTTCATGATGTCGGCCAGCACAGCTCCGCCCAGGAACACCATGTGCTTACGTCGGGGCGGGTCCTCTATACGAATCTTGAATTTCTGTGGAGGGTGTGGTGTGCATTAGGTCATCACAATTTTAGTTATTATTACACAACCATGTGTTTCTATTTTTAGTGTTTTACACACACGTGTAGTGTCCTTCCAGTGTACATGTGTATGCTATAATCAGAATTATCTATACAGCAAGACAGACGTACAATGCAACAGCAAACTAAACCCCTCAATCACAGCTGGTTAATGAGGTACGGGGGCTCACAGATAGTTTTGCAGTGTCTCCTTTGAGGACTCTCTCTAGGTACAGCTGCTTGATCTCTCTCTCCAGTCGGGAGGGGAGGCCCGGGTACATGGTGGAGCCCCCAGAGAGGACGATGTGTTTGTAGAACTCTGGCCGGGTGTCAATGTCTGCGGCCTGCAGGGAGGCAGGGGGGGAAAGAGTGGCTTACAAGACAACGGAGCAAGACACGTGAGAGGAATGGGGCATGCAAAACGTAGTGTCTTTATGCAGCGGGGAACATTTCAAAACGTAAGCAACCAAACTTTGTTACTGAATCCTGAATTTTCCCCTTCAAGCAGTTTGAGACTCCGCCCACCATACAAATGTTGGCCCCGCCAACCTGAATGGTATTGAAGAGCATCTCGGCCATGCCGGCTCCCTCCACGTTGATGAGGTGTGGTTGGAACAAGATCTCTGGAGCCTCAAACCTCTCTCCTCCCAACTTCACCACTCGACCATCTGGCAACTACACGACACACATCACAACTTTAACCCTCTACACCAGGGTTAAGTACAACTCTAATCTCTAGCCCACTGCTTCTTCAAACCCCTGAATCAGGGTTAACACAGAAAATTTAACCCCCTGCTCACTGTATAGCTCTCCACCAGTACAGTAGTATCTTCGGCCAGTCTCTTTTCCTGCTCGATGTTGTAGCCAATGTAACAGAGTCGTTCCTTCATCATTCTGATGGTCTCAAAGTCAGCCGAGTGGTTGAAGGCATAGCCACGAAGGAGGAGGAGTTTTATGAGGTAGCGGGTGATGTCGCGACCAGCCACGTCCATCCTGCGAGTGAGGTGGGGGAGGGAAAACCCCTCGTACACAGGACAAATGTGTGTTACTCCGTCTCCACTGTCTATGACTATTCCAGTCAGCAGACCTGAACAGAGAGAGGAGAGAGAGAGAGGGGAAGGACACTGCTTTAGAGGAAGTGTATATACACTACTGAGTTTGTGTGAACAGTGGTTGCCATGGGTACATATATTCACCACCCACACAGGCCCTCTGAAACCAAATAAGGTCAAAAGTCAGTCTGCACGAAGCCACAAGGCCATTCAAGTCGTATGTCAGACAGCAAAACAGACTGCCTGAGAACACACAGCCTCCAACTACCCATCCATCTTTGCATACATGAGCCACACCACACCTCATGTTATACAAGACTATACTTCATGTAAACAGACAGGGGGGGCACCAGCATTGTGGCAAGTGAATGTGAAGACGAGAGAGGAGAGGAAGTGTGTGTATACCTTGTGCGTAGAGGGTTAGTACAGCCTGTATGGCAATGTACACTCCTGCAAACTGGTACTCTTCAAACATAACCTGCAGAGATAGGAGAGGTTTTGAAATGGCAGAAACGGTGGAGAGAGAGGGAAGGAGAGGGTCTTACTTACTTCAATCATCTTCTCTCTGTTCTTGGTGGGGTTCATGGGCGGCTCTGTCAGCAGAACCTGCAGCGAAAGGTTAGAATTTCACAGCGATAGAGACAAGACTAGATCCCGCCAACCTTTGTCTTCTTGGCATCAATCTTTAGTTTCTCATGGAAAGTGAATTCCCAGATGTGCTTCATGTCGTCCCAGTTGCGGACAATTCCATTCTCCATGGGGTAATTGACCTCAAGCATGGACCTCAGTTGGCTGGCCTCATCTCCAACATGAAGATCCTACATACACGGCAAGTAACGGACTACACTGACACGGATTTAGGGCGGCGAAGGCGCACACACGGAGACAAAGATCTTCACACTGTATATAATATATACCTTGATCTCTATGTTGCCGATTTTGGCGGAAGAGCGAATGATGGGTCGGCCGACCAGAGAGGGGAAGATGTGAGACGGGAAGTTGGAGCCAGCATAGCCACACTTCACGAACTGCGGCCAGGCAGGAGGGACACGTAACGGAAGAAAAGCTACGTTTCCCACAAACTGGTGGTCGACAACAAGACACCGCTAACTTACCCCCGTCCCGTTGTCGCAGACAATGACTTTGTTGCCTTTGCTGTCGGTCGTCATTCTCTATCTCTGCCGCTGCTCCCTCCTACCCTTCTCTATCGCATGCCCCTGTATGGAAAATGGCCGCATGCCTGCGCATGCGCGGTCGCTTACTTAATAACCACGCCCACCGAGTACTCTTCGCGCGCGCGTTCACGTGCCTGCGCATGCGCACCCGCTACTACAACGGATTACTCGTGTGAAAAAATAAAAATTTATTTATAAAACTAAATATCTGACACACAAATTTAAAAAATCCGTGTATTTATTTGGTGGAGGGAGGAGGGGAAGAAGGAGAGGGGTGTTCAAGCCCCAGAGTGTTTGGACGAGTGTTGTATGAGGATGGGGAGAGGGGAGGAGAGGAGGTGGGAAGGGAGGGAGGCTGCAGAGGAGAGGCTCCTCGTTTTCTTTTGCGTCTCTTGGCCAGAGGTGCTCGCGCTACATCTCCGAGAGTGAAGCCTGCCTTCGTAGCCTGTGGATACAGAGCATAAAGTTGACCTGATACACTGAGGCTCAAAGAAGACTGCCAACACTCAGTAGTACAGTAGCTGGTGCCAAACTTTCTCAACTCCACAAGTGCATTGTGTGTGTTTTAGCTACTGAAGAGGTCCACCTGATGGAAGGCATGGAAGGTCTGTTTGATGGCAGATGCAGTTCCCTTCTCTCTACCCAACACACAGGACGTGAGGAGGGGTGTGCTGTCTTTCCGCTCGCGGGTCACCGGGGTGTACCTTCCATCATGACCCACGCCTGACCTACGCCTTGATGCTGGCGTTTTTCCGCAACGAAATGGGCTTTGGCGGCAACAATGGCCTGACCGACTTCAAGGATATCCTTGGTGCCAACCTGCAAGCCGACTCGACGCGTGCGGTCCTGTTCGTCGTAGTCCTGTCGTCACTTGGTCGCGTGGCTGGCGGCCTACCGTTCTGGTGTTCTTCCGTTTTGTAGGTGACATCGAAGCTCGGTCGCGTCATGACGGCGCTGCGCGATGCCGAGGACCGCACGCGCTTCATCGGCTATCGCGTCGAGCGATTCCAGTTGGCCGTGTTCACCGCATCGGCGGTGCTCGCGGGCATCGCCGGTGCACTGTACGTGCCACAGGTGGGGATTATCAATCCGAGCGAGTTCCAGCCGCTCAACTCCATCGAGTTGGTGGTCTGGGTCGCCGTCGGTGGACGCGGTACGCTCTACGGCGCGGCACTCGGCGCCGCGGTGGTCAACTACGCCAAGACCACGTTGACGGCGACATTGCGCGAGAGGTTGGCTGTTCGCCTGCGGTCTGCCATGTTAGTTCGTGAATCGTCACGCTGGCGTTGCCGAAAGGCATCGTCGGCCTTTGGCAGCAGGTCCGGCCGTCGCGCCAGGCACAGTCGGCGGAGGTGGCCCATGCCTGACGCGCCGAGAAGGCGCCCACGGTGGCAAATGCTGGAACGCGACCGCGTGTGGGACTTCCTCATCGAAAAGCCGACCCGCGACGAGCTGTTGAGCGCCGACCACGGCTACATCCTTTACTTGGAAGACGTTACCGTGAGCTTCGATGGCTTCAGGCTCTCGATGCGTTGACACTCTACGTGGAATCGGCGCGAGTTGCGCTGCATCATCGGCTCCCAACGCGCGGGCAAGACCACGATGATGGACTGAGTCTATCACCGGCAAGACGCGGCCGGATTCGGGCCGCTGCACTACTCCGGCAGCGACTCGACCTGACGCGCTTGTCGGAGCCCGATTAATCGCGGCAGCTCGGCATCGGCCGCAAGTGTCTGCAGGACAGATCACGTAGCGAGTGCTCGTGCGAGAACCACACGCCAAACGTTCGTGAGAATCGCGAACGTCTCCATGTGTCCGCGCCTACAGCGCGTGTGGCCGACCCTCAAGGCGAGGCTCAGCGGCGAGCAGACGGGATCCGATCGAGGCGACCTTGATACGATCGCCTGATCAACCATGGCGATGGCCGCGCGGGCACGCTGTCGCATGGGCAAAAACGTGGCTCGAGATCGGCATGCTGGCTATGCAGCAACCCGCTGTGCTCCTGGTCGACGAGCCGGTGCGGGAATGACACGCGTGAATCGGAACGGACGGCGAGTTTGACTCACGCGTTGGCCGGCGACCATTCAGTGATCGTGGTGGAGCACGACATGGAGTTCGTCCGTTCCATCGCCAGGCACGTCCGCGTCCTTTTGAAGAGCTGCACGAGGGTCGTGTCCTGGTCGAAGGACCGTTCGATGCGGTGCAGGCCGATGCGCGCGTGCGCGAGGTCTACCTCGGCGAAAGCGCGGGGGATGCGTGATGCTCGAAGCCGCCGGACTGTGTCAGTCCTACGGCGAAAGCCGCACTTTGTGTGCGACGTCGCGGCGCGCCATTCCGATGCGCTTGTCCTGGCTGTATGGTACGCAAGCGGCGTTGGCAAGACACGCTCCTGAAGTGCCTGTATGGGCTACCTTGCCGTGAGGCCGGCTCGATCCGGTTCGCTCCCGGCGAAGACCGTCGCGCCCTGCCCCGGACGACGCCGCCAAACTCGGGATCGGCTACGTGCCCCAGGGTCGGATGATCTTTCCGTTGCTGACGGTGGAAGAGAACCTGGCCGTGCTTGGTGTGTGCGTTGTCCGCGCTCGCCGCGGGCGATACCCGGCTGATGTGTACGAACTCTTTCGGTGCTCAGGACATGCCTCGCGCCGCGGCGGCGACCTGTCGGGCGGCCAGCAGCAACAGCTCGCGATCGGGCGTGCGCTGGTGTTGGGGCCGAAGTTCCTGATTCTCGACGAACCCACGGACGGCATTCAGCCGAACGTCGTGCAGCAGATCGGCGACGTCGTTGTGCGCCTGAACCGCGACCTCGGCATGACGGTGTTGCTGGTCGAGCAGAAACTGCCGTTCGTGCGCCGCGTCGCGGATCGTTTCGCGATCATGACCAAGGGCGCGATCGTCGCGGACGGCCCGTTGGACGCGCTCACCGATGCGTTGATCGAGGAGCACCTCACCGTATGACGGCACCGTGGGCGCGGCCATGCGGCTGCATTTCCGCGGCCGCCGCGGGCGGACGGTCCTGGCGCGTCGCGAGCACGCCGGTCCGATAGCGGTACAGCGCCCGTTCTACCCGGGCGATGGCGCCTGCCATGTCTACATCCTCCTGCATCCGCCGCCCGGCGTCGCCGCCCAGCGATGACCGAGCTCGTAGTCCCCGCATCGACGTGCAGTGTCCGGCGGCGTACGCCTGCTCACCACGCGGCGGCCCGACCAAGGTGTACCGGAGTCCGCTCGAGTGTTCGGTCGTGCGTGTCTGGACGTCGGCGCGGGATGCGGGCTCGAATGGCTGCCGCAGGAAACCATCCTGTTCGGCGGCAGCTACTTTCGGGCGCGAACACGCATCCGGTTAGCGCGGGATGCGCGGTACAGCGGTTGGGACATCCTCACGTTGGGCCGGCCGGCTTCGAACGATGGCTATGAAACCGGTACCGCGCGGATGGAGACGCGCATTGATGTGGCCCAGTGACACCGCGCTTGTCGAACCTCAACTCCCGGCGTGTCGGGACACTACTGCCACGGCAGCGCCGTCTTGACGGCGGCGTGGGGACTCTCGGGGTTGTCGACCGTAGCGTCGTACTACGCCTACCCCGCGGACGCCGACACCTTGGCGCGGGCCCGCAGCCTAGTCGGCGATTGTGAGAGCGGTGGGCACCACCCCTTGCTCGAAACGATCTTCGATTCTCTCGTCGTGCGCATGCTGGCGAGCGATGTCGAACGAGTCCGGCGCCTGCTGTTGCGCGTTGTGTCACGGCCGTGCGCGGCCGACCGTTTCCGCCTGTCGCGGCCTGCAGCACCGCGCGTTGGGCGACTTGAGCGTCCATGGGCCAGTTTGTCCCTCTCGCTCCGTCGCCAGGCACGCCGCTTGCAGCGGCCTGCGCCGCTCAACATAATGCCGTCCCCGTGACCTTTGGGACCACCCCGCGCGAAAAGGACAGACTGCTCGTTTTCGTTGCCGCCCAAGTCGCGGAACAACGCCGGGCACGGGGCGTGAAACGAACTATCCGAGAGTGCGTGGCGCTCATCTCCGCCGCGGATCATGAGAGGAAGGTGCCCGACGCCGGCCGGTCCTGCCGACACTCATGGACGAAGGCGCGCGCATTCTGAACCGCGACGAGGTCATGGACGGCGTGCCGGAGATGCTGCCCGAAGTTCAGGTGGAGGCGACGTTCCCGGACGGCACAAACAAGCTGGTCCACCGTTCACGCTCGATATCCCGTGACCCCGGGCGAGATCCTCATCGCCGACGAAGACGGCGAACTGACCCTGAACGCCGGTCGCTCGCACCGGTGGAGGTCAGCGTCGCACACTGAGGTGACCGACCCATCCAGGTGGGTTCGCACTACCACTGTCTACGAGTACCAATGCGCATTGCATCGCCGCGAGGCTCCCGGGCTTCCGCTGGACTTCCCGCGGGTACGGCCGTCCGTTTCGAGCCCGGCCAGCGCCGCACTGTAACGCTGGTTGCCCTGGCCGGCGCCCGGCGGGTATTCGGGTTCAAACGCCGCGTCATGGGCACCCTGGAGGACACATGAGCACCATCTCCCGGCGCGCCTATGCCGAGATGTTCGGTCCCACCACCGGCGACCGGGTCAGGCTCGGTGATACCGAGCTCATCGTCGAGGTCGAGGACGACCGCGCCGTCTACGGCGACGAGGTCAAGTTCGGCGGCGGCAAGGTGATCCGCGACGGTCTGGGGCAAGAGTCAGCGCGGCAAACCTGCCGAGCACCGTCCTACCAGACAGCCGTGGTCGCGCTGGTTGCTGCCGAGCTGGCATCTACAAGGCCGACATCGGCATCAAAAACCGTCGTATCGCGGCCATCGGCAAGGCCGGCAATCCCGATACGCAGGCCGGCGTCGACGTGGTCATCGGACCCGGCACGGAAGCCATCGCCGGGGAAGGCCAGATCCTCACGGCGGGCGGCATCGACGCCCACATCCACTTCATCTGCCCGCAGCAGATCGAGGAGGCGTTGATGTCGGGCATCACGACGATGCTTGGCGGCGGCACCGGACCGGCGACCGGCACCAACGCGACGACCTGCACGCCGGGACCGTGGCATATCGCGCGCATGCTGCAGGCCGCGGACGCCTTCCGATGAACCTGGGATCTAGGAAGGGCAACGCCCAGTCTGCCAGTGGCGCGCTGGAGAACAGGTGGTCGCGGGTGCCATGGGCCTCAAACTCCACGAGGACTGGGGCACGACACCGGCCGCCATCGACACCTGCCTCGCCGAGCCGGATGGCTTCGACGTCCAGTGTTTGCGATTCACACCGATACGCTCAACGAGTCCGCTATCGCGAGTAACACTCATTGCGGCGTTCAAGGACCGCACGATCCACACCTATCACACCGAGGGTGCGGGAGGTGGTCACGCGCCGGACATCATCAAAGCGTGCGCGCTCGACAACGTGCTGCCCACTGCCCTGACAGAGGTGTGAAGACACACAGTCACTAACCCGACGCGCCCAGTACACTCGCGTCAATACTGTCGATGAGCATCTCTGGACAGGCTCATGTCTGCACCATCTTGATCCGGGATCGCGGAGCCGTGGCTTTCGCAGAGTGCGCGCCTCCGACGCGAGACCATCGCCCGCGCCGAGGACATCCTGCACGTACCTCGGCGCGTTCTCGATGACGTCGCGTCCCGACTCGCATGCGATGGGCCGTGTGGCGAGGTGATCTGCCGGACTTGGCAGACTGCGCACACAAGATGTAAGGTGCACAGCGCGTCCGTTGCCGGAAGACGGTCCGATCGCAACGTACCTACAGCGCGCCAAACGCATATATCGCCAAGTACACCATCACCCCTGCCATCGCCATGGAACCCCGCGAGTGGCTCGAATCGCCGTTGCAAGCTCGCGAATCTCGTCTTGTGGCAACCCCGTTCTTCGCGTCAGCCGTCCCTCGTGCTGAAAGGCCGGGGGGGGGGGGCCAAAAAAAATGGAAAAAAAT